GCCCTGCTGGGTACACCGCTATTGCTAACCCCATGGGCTCCTACGGTACCGGATGTTCCACTGCAAGGGGGTTTTTTTTTTCCTTCCCCCCCCCCCCCCCCCCCCCCCCCCCCCCCCCTGTTCCAATATGTCGTCGCCGCGCCGTTGTTGGGCAGCTCACCTCATTTATAAGTTGCCAGTAATCCTTTGGGGGTTGGGAACCATTTTCCGCCCTCATAATGCTTCTGTGGGTAGTAGTTTACGTAGGAGAATAATCGGTCAACTCCTAGTAAGTAAAGTCAAGTCAAGTCAGTCGATTCGGGGCGAGTGACTGCGAGACGCACATACAGATAGTTGAGCTTGCCAGTGTCGTGGCCTGCGATGAGGGTTTGCCATACCAATAAGGAATCCTACACGTCTCCTTGGCTTCCTTCGAAACCCCAGGCTACTATATTCCCGACCGAATCCCTCATAATGTTTAATCTTTCCTCCTGAAATGTCAAACCGCCCCAATGAAGGGCTTGCGTTCGCCTTTCCCGCTGGTACTCGCGGTATTAGGATGTTTGGGAAGAATCAGCTTGGTCGACGGACATGGCCTCACCAGACGTACCGTCGATAACCCCGGTCCCGATGGTTTCATCCGACATAGATATCCTTCAGGTCAGCTAAGATGGGATTTTCTAAGTTTCTAAGAGAGAAAAAGAGTTTGGTCTAACTTCTGGGTTTAGTCGTGCCGTTTGGTGATTACGTCTACATAGATGGCGGTCAAATGTTTCAGCCGAACAACGGAAATGGGTCGAATAGCACTCAGTCGGATCCATACACTTCCTACCCCGGTATATCCAATAGCGCTCATGTACGCATAACGCATTTGCTAATAGATGAACAGTAAGCTCGACGCTTTCCCTCAACTTAAACGAATCATGGACGAACGAAACGGTCGAATTTCGGACGATCCCGAAGGCGGCGCCGCTTCTCGGGCAGCAAGTCTACTGGACCGACCACTCGTATAACCCGGGTGCCTTCTATGTTTGGGGTGGAAAGACGATGGACAACGGATCGCCGCCGGAGGACCAGCTATGGTATTTTAGTGCTGACGGCTCGGGTGGCGGGTCATGGTCACAGCTTCCCCAGGGCGATTACCGCCAGTTCTCACAACTTCTACGTCCGGCCGGCGCATCATTTACGCAGAGCGCCAATATGGGCTATTCGTTTGGTGGTCTAGCTAGTCGGGAGTCCGACCACTCGATTCAGAAGGCCGATCCTGGTTACGCTGTGAAGGGAGTTGTATCATACGATTTTCAGACCAACCAATGGGCTAATCATAGCTCGGAATCATTCGGGGATTACGGTACTAGCTTATACGGTTGTGCCGAATATGTACCATTCGGACCTAACGGATTATTGGTCTTCCTCGGTGGCATCGAGACGACCGTTGACGTAAACAGCGTGTATACCAACGGAGTCAGTTGGACTGAACTCACGCTATACGATCCGGTAACAGGAAAGTGGTATACACAGAAGACAACAGGAGACCCACCGCCACGGGTCGAACGAGCTTGTAGTGTCGGTGTTCGGGGGCCTAACAACACGTATGAAATGTAGGTCTATCCTTGGTAGTCGGCTAAGAGGTTATATAAGGAAAGAAAATGAACTAATATTGCTTGGCTGGATTTAGATTCATTTATGGTGGCTCACTGGTCACCTATGGAAATACGTTTTCTGGCGTCTACGTACTATCTCTGCCTGGATTCCATTTCTTCAAATCGAATTCTCCCGGTACGCCGCGTGCCGACCATGGTTGCGCGGTCATCGGCAAGGGCAGGAGACAGATGCTTAGTTATGGAGGCATCGATGCTGGCCCTGAGCTTGATTTTGACAACATGACGAGCGATCCGTGGAGACAAGGTCTTGGTGTTTACGATATGACTGAGATGACATGGACGAACTCGTACGATGTAGATGCTGCAGACTATGAGAGCCCCGCCGTGGTGAGGGATTGGTATGCCCAAGGGAATATGAAGACTATGACCTGGGATAACGACGAGCTTAAAGGGCTATTCGTTAACGGTAGTTCAAGCACATACGGTATGATGAACAACTCCGCTATAACAGAAGATTTGCCAAAAGACTCTCTGAGCTCGGCCCAAAGGACTGGTGTTATTATCGGTAGCACTGTAGGAGGAGTAGTGGTGCTTACGGCCATCGGCGCTGCCATATTTTTAATGCGGCGAAGAAGACGTCGTCGACAAAGCAGCCGGGCCAGCAGCACGATAAACGAGTACAGACCGGAGCCGTGGCCGAAAGATTCGCCGCGGTTGCGGTCGACTACGCCGGGGACGATGACGACGTTTGTATCTTCGCAAACCCCGGTAGAACCAGTAGAGATAAATGGTATAACGAGAGGGGAACTACCCGCGGAGGATGTAAAATGGACATACGAGCTTCCGGTTCCCACACCACACGCCACACCACGGCTGAGGCCAGAGCTTCCAGATAGGAAGTTTTCACATTAATATTATTTTGTAAAGAGTATAAATAAAATATAATGACTTGTGCTTAATATGGTCAGCTTAGACGGCCAACTTATTGAATTGTGAGGCGAAGCGTACCGAGACGAATCGGTCGTACTTCTAAGTTTTCTCCCTATAACCTAAACTCGGCCGGAATTCTCATTTATTTTCCACGCGAATTGAATTCGTCGTCTTGTGGCTTCTTCGCAGCATGAATGCAGTAAGCGTAGCATATATGCCTACGACTACCTCAAGATGTCTTAACCTTGTTGTATATAGTGGTGTACAGCTTAACTTCAAGTGTAGTGTGCCTCGAGGTTAACTGCAGTGGGTACCTTAGGAGGTAGATAAGACAGTCGAATCGTTCATTTGATCGGTTGTCCGTAAGTAGCCACGATGTTGCTACCGAAATGAACCCTCTCACTTCGTACCTCCGACTATTTTCTTCACCTTCTCGAGTAATAACCCGCTCTCACGACCTAGTTTTCGCTGGCCATCTCGACCTGGCGTCCGTGCCTTCGCCATGGCTTTCCTAAACTTCTCGCGCTCTGCGATCTTACTTTCCCGCTCCGCATTCCGTCTCGCAATCTCTTGGGCGCGCGCTTCAGCCTCCGCCTTTTTGCGGTCCCCGTCAGCTACCGCTTTGTCGAAGTAGCCGGGCTTGCGGACTTTCTGTTTCCGCTGGCGCGGGTGGCGGTCTCCTGACGGAGGCGGAGAGGAGGGCTCTGCCTGCTCCTCATCTACGTCTAGCATAGCCTGCCTCTCGGGATGGAGTTGAGGCGATGGTGGGTCTGCCTCTGCCTCTGCCTCTACGTCTACATCTGCATTTGCATTTGCATTTGCATCCTCAGTGGCGGGAGTAGTGTTAGATTTAGAAGATGCTTGCTCTGCAGCTTTAATCTTCTTGTATGCCTTTTTAACCTTTGCTTTATGAATGAGATCCCTCTTTATTTTATCAACTTGGTACAAATTTGAGTTAGCATTACAGCGATTTAACGAGAGTCTCATGGTATCAAACCTTTTCTCCTCCAAGGACCATCCGGTAAGTTTTCTGGGCCTACTCGGAAGCCTTTGCGAAGCTTTTTTGCTGCCGGTGTGGCTGCAGCATCCGATTCAAGAGTTCTCTTAGGTGCCATAATCAGCGGATAATAAGTTATCAGTTCCTGATGGATTTCTTGATCTTAAACCTGGACCATGAGCATTTGATAGGTGATATGTTCAACAAGTTTTACATGAAGGACAAGTTGAGATGACAGGATGAATATCGATAAGATTTAGTGGGGACTGAGCACCGAAAAAAAAAGCCCTTTCTGCAATGCGCTATGTGATCTTAGTGGACTTATTCCACAGTGGACGTAGTAGGGGTTTGCGCTAACATTAGATGATTAGACAGGGTGTTACCGGCATACTAGCTCGTCCCAGGTATAGCATGAGCCCTATTACCGGTCCGCCCCTGCCGAATACCGCCTCATTCTGGCTTAAGTTTGTCCCAAACTGGCTACGCTCTTTCCTGAATAGGCGCGAAACGGAATAAAATGGACCACTAATTATGATGACGCTGAACTTAGTAACACCTCACTGTAGTCATAATTTGATAGGTGAGGAAGGTCCGGATGATCAAGCGATCCTGCATTAACTTCCTACTGTACCTCAATCTCGTACACCTGTCTCATGATAATAGGACCTTCTCACTTTTCACCTTTCAACTTTCAACTCCAAATCGTACACGTAGTTATTTCCTAGTCCGAACAGGGCAATAATTACAGCTCTTTGTCGAGCAGGACGGACCCTTTACATCTCGTTCCGTTCCGCTTCGGACAATCTTGTCAAATGAGTCAATGGAACGAAGACAACGAGTCAGTTACTGGTAGCGGTTCATTTCTTAGCGACGTATAAGAAACTACTTTAATGGCAGTTGAATATGTTCGAATGCTTATAACGTAACATCGTCTTTCAAGTTCTAGGTCGACAACTGGGTGTACGATGCCCGCTTTCCAGGTAGACCTAGAGCAGAGGGAGTCCGCTGAGCAGTCGCCGGCGCCCACCATGGCGCCACCAGCAGATCAATTCCACAACAGCAGCGCTTTAAGGAGGAAGCAATCGGAGGAAAGTATCAGTACCGAATTATGCGAAGGTCCGATACCAGACAGTCCAGCACCTCAAACGCCAGAGCAAAATTCACCGACCGAGTGCTCCGACAGATCGGAACTGATCGAGCGATTAAAGAGAGGCGAGAGTCCAACTTGGAGGCCAAGTCGACATGTTGGTAGTCATATTTCACCTTATACTTTCCAATCTACTAACATGGCTGGGAACCAGTTCGGATCGATATGGGGTCAACAGCCAGCATCTCCTACTCGAAGTCCAAAACACTCGGCGGCAGATTCACCGATTCTACTACCTTCAGCTACAATAACCCCGGAGCGGCAAAGCACCGACTCGAATGATGAGACAAGGCAGCGAGAGGGACTAAGTATCGAGCGTCCTCGTTCAGCTCTTCATAGTGGTGACTTTACACATGACGAATCTTCTGAGAATGCTAGTGCCATACCAGATCACCAACAAGCTCAAAGGGGGCAAGATTTTGATGGTATTAGTGAGTCATGGTTAACTACTCCGCCTCTAAAGCTTGTTACTCGCTTCCCCTTCGAAGGCCAGCAGATCTCGGCGAGGAGACCAGACGAGACGCACGCAGGTTTTTCTCCTTTATCTTCTTCTATTTCTTCAAGCTTCATCTATAAGCCGCCTACTAGTCCTTTAGTCCAGTCAGAAAGCAATGACGATATTGATTTGACGTCCCCTATGGATGGCATTGATATCAGTTCATGCCTTTCTGTAAATTCGCGCCGGCACACATTCATGTCATCTTATTCAAATTCATACGCTATCCCCTATAGTCCGTCACCAAGACAGCTGCCTCCTCTACGCCAAGAGAGAACGTTTCCTTACCAAGCACATCAACCACGGCGGTCTCTCGCTTCAACTCCTAATTTCCCCACGGCTGCATCTTCACCGCAGACCCCTGCTTTCTTCCGGTCAAGACGCCCGTCGTTTAGCTCAGAAATATCACCCATCCAACATGCTTCTATGGTAGGGTCTTATGAAGAAAGTATCTTACGCGGACGGATGTCTACAACCCCCTCAAAGCCTCTCGATTTCTTAGCTCAGATTGGCGTACTCGGGTTGGGTAAGTGCAAGCCAAGCCTACGATGTCCGTCCCATGTGACATTACCTTTCCCTGCCGTGTTCTATAGTTATGCCAACTCCTCTCACGGGCGCTCTAAAGCTGAAGATGGGCCGAGTCCGTATGTTGGTCAGATTGACTTGGAGAATGGCCTTCCGAATCAGGAAGAGGAAGCGAGGTCAAAGCGAAAGATGCAAAGCAGGGTTTTAGACCGAAAGTTGGAAGACGATAAGACGGAAGTGGGCAACCGTCCCGCAGAGCCATCGGAGCGTGACCCGCGCAGAGCTCAGCGATCCAAACGTAGGTCCGGTTCTCCCAGGGCACCACCGGGTGGTAGCTACCGTATCCCCGAGAAGGGGCAAGTTCAGATTGTGATCAAAAACCCCAATAAAACCGCTGTCAAGCTATTTCTTGTTCCGTACGATCTAGCAGGGATGGAGCCTGGTACAAAGACTTTTATTCGGCAGCGAAGCTATTCGGCTGGTCCGATCATTGACAATATGCCTAAAACGAAAGATAGCGAGACCACAGACAGGCCGATTCTTAGGTATCTCGTCCATCTGCATATATGTTGTTCCTCGAAAGGTCGGTATTATTTGTACAAAAGTATTAGAGTTGTCTTCGCAAACCGCGTGCCTGATGGGAAAGAGAAACTTCGAAATGAGATTTCTCTACCGGAGCCCAAATTCACTGGCTACAAGCCGATCAGAGCTATGCACCCTCCTATCTCAGGCGGTTATGGTCCCGGTGCTAGCCTGGCTGCTGATAAGGCGTTTAGACGACGTAGCTCCGGATTCCATTTCGGCGCTCCCGGTCAAGTGTATGATACGACCGGCGGGTTTCCCCCGAGTCATACGCCGCATCAACCCTTTGTATCAGATTTTGCAGGTCATAACGCGCCAGTTGAACCGGTACCTCTCAGGCATAGTGGAATAAGGAGCATAGTGGATGAAGCCAGCAACGCAGGTCCTGCTGACCCCTTGTCGCCAGATTCATCCCAGACCAGCCGGCCAACCACGCAATACTCGAGCGATGTATCGAGTTGGGGTGGGCCAGACGCCCAAATTGACAAATACAACAAACTTAATAAGGGTGATGTAGGCTATGGGGGCAATGCATTTGCTCGCCTGATTAACGGCAACACTGGTGTTGCCGAGGGCCTACTATCGCAGCGATTGCGATCTCTAGGTGTTGATGGCCAGATAGACCAGGAGTCTTCGACAATAGAGGAATAGGCCTTTGATTTAATTCATCGTTCTACTCCGGTGTTAGGATCTGACTATTAGGATATCCTTCATCGGCTTGTGGAAGGATTAGCAAGGTCATATTAGGAGTACTTGGGCGCTATTTGGTGTATGTTACTGCCACGGTGTAGCTATTTATCGCCTCGTAGCCATGGTTGGTTTCTGGTCGGCATAATTTAGATAAAATACCCTCTGAAGCCTATTTTCCGGATGGTTGTATCTCTATGAGTTCTATGACCCTTCTTGCATAATCTTTTAGTTACTTCGACGGAGCTTCTCGTGGTGTAAACTTCTTCATAGTACGAAGGTTGGGGCCAAAAGTTTCGCACATCTAAGCTTGGCAAAGCCACGTGCGAATAAAAAGAGATTGTACGGTCTTATTTAAGCTATAGTGGCTGATATCGCTATAAATATAGTGGTAAGCCACCTAAACTTAGTGAACGAGCCACTATCCGACCTTTAGCTTAGCGTGTGGCTAATACAGTACTAATAAGTCGAAAAACGTATAAAATACGGTGCTAAGATTTAGACGTGCGAAACTTTTGGCCCCAACCTTCGTACTTTTATCAATAAGGGCTCATGGCGAATATGTAGCTCGCTTATAAAACGGAATTTGTAGAAACTAAGTTAGAATAGATTCTAACTCTACAGAGAAGCCGTAGCATCTACCTGTGAGTATTTAAGAAAGCAACTAACTAGCATGATCACAATATGAAACTTCACTTTAGGAATCGGTCATACACGGTTCTGTTAGACGGCTATCAACCGACCACGTTCTCCTTTTAGCTACTATCTAACTTTACTATTCCATCTCTTCAATAGGGATGTCCAGCCCCTAAGGTAACTCCCCGGTTCCTAGCTTGAACTACAGTACCTAATGTATGTGACATGCACGTCCTCGCTCCTCGTCCACTAGTGCAAAGGACAGAACGGATAGGCTTCGTTTAGGAACCCATAAAACGCTTCTCCTTTATTCCACTCCATCAGTAACCTTGAACCTACCATCGCAGCTACAAACCTACGTGCTGTCTGTTCTACCCCGTAGTAGTCCTCTCAATCCCCGGCCCCGGCCCCGGGCCCGAGCCTCTAGCAGTCGAAGACACAGACCCCTGCCCGGGCGCTCGGCGCGGCCTCTTAAAACACGCGAACTGGGCACGGCTCTGCTCCCGAAGCTTCTTCAGGACCTCTCTCATGCCGGGCAGCTCGTCCTGCAGACGCGCGCGGGCCTGGTTATCCGTCTTGGAGTCGAGCATGGAGTAGACCTCGCCCTGGATGGCGGAGGCGCGCTCCGTCGTGTACTGGCTGAGCGTCTGGGCGAAGAACTCGACGTCGAGCGTGGCCTGCATGAGCGCGCCCAGGTCGAATCTCGGGCGCGCCTTGAGGGATTCTAGAAGCTCGCGGCTGAGCTGCTCGAGGAGGTACGAGAGGACTTGGTGCGTCATGCTGGGTGCTGTGGTGGAGACTTGCGTGTGGACTAGGACTAGGGTGAGCAGGGCTTCGTAGACGTATGGTTTGACTTGTGTGGGCTTGGGAGGAGCCCAGTTGGGGTCGGAGAGGCCGGCGCGGATGATCTTGCGTAGGCTATCGAGTGATGGTCGGGTGTAGGATTGGAATAGGCGGGCGTCGATCTGGCCGAGGACGTCTTTGATAGTCTTGGATTCATCTGTGAGTTTGACGGAGAAGGCGTTCTCGAATTGGCCGTTTAGGTTGGGCACTACTTTAGTGCGCAGAGCGTGAAGGTTACCGAGCGTCAAGAGCATACGGACGTTCTGTATTCTAATGTTAGTCCTAATTTCCGTAGTATACTTCCAAGGGAACTCACTCTATCACCGGGGTCGACGGTCTCCGAGCCGAGACTCAAGGACACCCTCTCACTACCGGGCCTCACAGTTAGATCCGCATCAGTAGTCCATTCATCATCCGCCTTCTTGATCGCGCGCTCCGCATTTTCAACCATTCCGCTAAGCGCTTTATAGAGCGTCGTAACATACTGACTTCTCACCATCTGCAGCAGCTTCGTCGTCGGCGCAGAGACAATATCCCCTGAGCCCGGCTTAGACATCGCCTCCGGGATATAGAGAATCTTCTGCATTCCGGAGAGCAAGGCGCCTTCGAAAGAGGCGAAGCTCGTTGGCATGCGTGTGACATCTCCCATCTCCTTGGAACGTTTCCAGTCCTCGACATACTTAATGTTCTCGGCGTCTTTGTTCCAGGCAGCGCATAGGGCAGTGACACATCTCTCGCGCGCAGCACCAACCAAAGTCTTCAGCATCTCTAACTGCTTCGCGTCGCCTTGCTTAACAGGGGCTACGCTCGCCATCTCGGACGCTCCGGAACCGACCAGGTTCAGCATCCTGGATAGGTAGTGAACGCCGCTAACCGAATTAGACGTGGGGGGCCAGAATGCAAACTTTTCCCATGGCTCACCCCTTTTGGGAGATGGTGGAGGAAGGTTATTTGCATCGAAGTTGAAACGAGGGTCTCTCGTACTGCTTAACCCTGCCGACTTGGGCGTCCCAGGCGAAGGCGGTAGGGGGGAGAAGAGAAGTGAGATATCTTCAGGCGGAGCACCCGCAAAGAACTCAAAGACATGCGCACGGATCATATCAACCAACTCGATTGTGCCTTTCTGCAGATCCACGGTCCCCTGCTGGGAAAGCCTATGATGGTCTCGAGACTCGCCATTATATCCCGTGGGTAACGACTTTTGCGCTTTTCCGTCGATGAATCCTTCGACTGTTTGCCAGAACTCGATAACCTCTCCTAAAATTCCTTGGCTAGACAAGAGGGTCGATAAAAAGGCCAGCATCTTCTCCCATAATTCGATGACGTCAGGAGAATCCAAGCCAGTGGCTTTGCTCTCAACTGACTGCCGACCAAGATTCTTAAGATGCGTAGCCATCATCTGCGGTGGTGGCTTCTCACCATTTGCGAGACGACGTCGGAGCACTTCTATCTCAACTTTCGCCCTTTCACCAGCCGTCGAAATTTTGCCCTTTAGGTAGTCGTACTTGCTCAAAAGCCACACCCATATTGGGTTATCGTCCACGCCAAGCTCTAGTAATAAGCTGATTAATTCTATGTGCTGATCTTGTGGTTGTCCAACCAGAGTCTCTGTCCTCGATATGTTATGAAGCGATGTAAGCTTCCTCCATAGTTCGCGTTTGAAAAGTTGAATTTGCTCGTCAACATCGTACCACATTCGAGCTGCGAGAAGAATTTGGTACGCCTGCGTCTCGCTTGGTGGTGTTGAACCAAGGTCTTCGACGAGTTTACGAGCCTCGTCCGCAAATCTCCGGGCACGAGTGTATTCTTCCACTAGGGCCTCGTAGTCTTTCCTCTTAATGCTATCCGCAATATTAGAACTAGCCTCGATGTACTCCTTGTATCGATCGAGCGAATTCGATACGGTCTTGAGATTCTCCTCTTTCTCCCGACCGCCAAGCGCGGGTCCCCAAACATCTTCGGCCTTAGCTGCCACATCTAATAAAGGCGTCTTGATACCCATGACTCCATAATCGCTTTCTTTAATAAGCGCATTCTTCTTCCTAGTATCGTTAGGAACAGGAACTACTAGTGTATTTGTTCCCAGAGCCGCACCGCCACTACTATTCCTGAAACTACTTTTACTAGCATGTCGCGAGTGTCCACGAGCGCGATTCAGGGATGGGGGCTCAACACCTCTGTACTTCATTTCCTTATAGACATTGTCAATCGTAGCTTTGGCCCGTACGAATCTCTCAAAATTCGACTCGACCAGAACCTTCAGGGATGCAGATTTCTGATCAATAGACTTGGATAGAACGTCGAGGCCATTTAAGAGGGACTCGGTATCGGCGGTCGCATGCATTTGAGATAGGAACAAGGCAGGGGAGAAACTCGTAGAGGATAAGAGAAAGCGATTTCCTATGAAAAGATGGGTAAGTTTGGCTATATTGGTGTCTTAGGTAGGGTCATCTAGTTTCCATTAAACATACGTAGACGGACATCATCCTGGACCGGTACTCCCAATTGCTTCAATGACCTAACGACGCTTTCCGATGTCCCTAACGGGTCAGGCTCGTCCTTCTGAACTAAGTTGCTCACTCCATTTGCCGACTTCTCGGATCCTTGGACGATACTAGTCCTATTGCTGACAGCTCGTTCTAATGCCTGATATCGCGACTTTCTGCGGTTTACCTTCTGCTTCTTCTGCTGTTCCTGTTCGCTGTCCGAGTTATCGCTCTTATCCTTCTCGGCTGGCCATTCTGTGGGAAATGGTGTAGACAGCTGGTAAAACTCCAGTACGTTCCTATCGAATTCGGCCATGATTTATCGCTGCTACTCCCAATATCGATGCCTTCTACCGGTTGTATATGGCCTCGCGCCGATTCCTATGGCTTTCCCATTCGTCGAGATTTTTATGGTATTAATATCGCCGTATAATTCTACTCGCAGCTTCATACAAACTCTCAGAGCATGCCGAATTGTTGGTGATTATTCAGTTATTGACGTACTAAATAAAGGCGTTTGGCTATTGAATGTAGGTGCTACATAATAAAGTGAAGGGAGGTACTCCCGTTAGTGTTGCAGCCGTGCATCAACCTAAGACGGAACAAGGATAGATCCTGCATGTTATGTATTAGATAATGGCATAATGCAAGCTGTGCAAGCCACAATGTGGGTAGGCGGGCAGCAGCTAAAGTGGCTTGCCCTGTTTGCTCATTGATTGATATAGGTAAATGTTACGTAGCTTGTCGGCAAATCTCTGGTTGAAAATTCGTTCGGCTCAAGCTAAAGGTCCACGGGTTGTTGTTATCAGATCTTTCAGATGCAACAGCCGTCCGTCCGATACCACCCGAGCCTCAAAAGCGCCTTTTGCCAATCCCATTCCACAACCTCTTTCTCCCCCCCCCCCTGCGCCGGTATTTTAATTCTACCTTTAGGAGCCTACGACAAATATACCTTTACTCCCTTAATCATATATAATGCTGAGCATTCGAGCGGTCGCCGCACCCTTGCGGCGCCAATGCCTGGCCACTGCTCCTCGAGCCTCTGCAACTTTATCTTTCCAGGTGGGCGCTGACTGAGAGCACGAGCTTAGATAGCACGGTCGCTAACTACTCGGTCAAATTGCAGAACCAAAGATTCTACTCGGACAAGGTCGCTAAGTTTACCGGTGTAAAGGCTTCTGATGTATGTGTTCAAGCGCCTTTTGCGACATCTCCCATGTGAAATTCAGCCGAGGAAAATCACTCAAAAAATAGTACCAACTTGGCGATGCAATTTGCCTAGAAAAAACTACTAATTGTCTAAACTATAGGGCCGCTACCCCG